GGGAGAGAGAGAGAGAGAGAGAGAGAGAGAGAGAGAGAGAGAGAGAGAGAGAGAGAGAGAGAGAGAGAGAGAAGGTTTTAATCCTGCTCCCCCACAAGCATTTTCTCCAAAATTTCAATTGTGACTTTTGTATATAGAAACCCCTAAAAAAATGTAGTCATCAGTAATAATACTTTGTCTTCCCATCAAAATCCCTTTCACAGTTAAAAAGAATGCTCACATAAGATATTGTTCAGGCATAAACTTTTGGTTTATCTTTTTGACATATACAATGTTTTGTTTTTAAATATGTGAATGAGTGTAAAGAAAGGATTATCTATGTTAAATCCTCAACTACCTTAAATGTTTTTAGTAATTTTGAAAAGAATTTTACGCTCTCTGGGGTATGGAAAGGACTAGCACTGAGTAAAGCATAGACTCATGGAACACATATAAATCATGGATCTTCCTGGCTCTATGCTGGGTGTTCAAGTATATTAAGTTATGATAAGTTGAAGATGAAAGGTACCTTAAATATGATCTCATTCAATCTTACTTCACAGGTGAATTAAGTGGGAGACAGAAAGAATAATGAATGTGCCCTCAGATGATGTTAGCAGCAGAATCAGGGTTAGAACACAGTACTTTTTATTCTTAGGTTAATGCTATTTGTGCCATGCCATGCTGATATTTCAGGACAAGACTCTAAGTGCTATTAGCAGTTATTGATTGGTGTGCACACTATGTAAATAATATTTAGATGCATTTTTTCCTCAAGTGACTACAATTAGTTAAGAACCCTCCAGGAGACAAACTAGGTTAATGCTATTCCATCTGGAAGTCCTTTGTGAATTAATTGTGTTGTTTTGTATTTTTATTAATTAGAACCCATATTTTATTCACAAACATCAGAAGAATAGGTAATAAGTTCACCAAACAAATGCTTTTATTTATTTTTTATTTTTAATTTATTGATTTTTTACAGAGAGGAAGGGAGAGAGACAGAGAGCTAGAAACGTCGATGAGAGAGCAACATCGACAAGTTGCCTCTTGCACACCCCCTACCAGGGATGTGCCCGCAACCAACGTACATGCCCCTGGCCGGAATCGAACCCGGGACTTTTCAATCTGCAGACTAATGCTCTACCATTGAGCCAAACCGGTTTTCGGCCAAACAAATGCTTTTAAAAGTTCATTTCAGTCCTATGATTCTACAATCCTACCTAATAAAAGAGTAATATGCAGATTGACCATCACTCCAACACACAAAATGGCTGCCCCCATTTGGACATAAGATGGCCAGCAGGAGAGGGCAGTTGGGAGGAGCCAGGCCTGCAGGGGAGAGCAGTTGGGGGAGACCAGGCCTGTAGGGGAGGGCAGTTAGGGGCAAACATACTGGCAGGGGAGCAGTTAGACATCAATCAGGCTGGCAGGGGAGTAGTTAGGGGGTGATCAGGCTGGCAGGCAGAAGTGGTTAGGGGCAATCGGGAAGGAAAGCAGGTGAGCAGTTGGGAGCCAGCAGTCCTGGATTGTGAGAGGGATGTCTAACTGCCCATTTAGGTCTGATCCCAGTGAGATTGGGCTAAATGGGCAGTCAGGCATCCCTCAAGGGTCCCAGATTAGAGAGGGTGCAGGCTAGACTGAGAGACATCCCGCCCTCCACACAACCCTGCCCCCCGGCGTGCACAAATTTCATACACCAGGCCTCTAGTTTTCATTATAAATTTATTATATGTTATTAATATACTTTCCCAATTTTTACAAACAATTACAAAGAAGTTTAAAATAGTGATTCATATAATTTCTGTCAAATAGTGATTTTACTGAGCTAAGAAATTAACCATAAAAAAATAGTACAAAATCTTTTTCATAATTGTAAAAGAGCATGATATCAATTTAGAGAAAAAAAGCAAATACATAGACACTATCTCATAAAATATTATAGAATGAGCATTATCTTTATTTTTATACTGTATTTAATATTATTTATTAAAATGATATTATGTAAGATTTTGCCACATTTAATTTGATGCTCAAAATTGGCAAATTATATTATGGATAGCTAAAAGTGTGTCTTGCTACAGCTCCTTGTACATGGGCAAAAGAGAAGTAGAATTTTCACCTCAAAATTACTCCAGATCCTTCTAAATAATTCTGGTTTTATACAAGTTTATTTTTTTTTATTATCTTAAAAATATTTTTATTTATTTTAGAGAGAAAGGAAGAGGAGAGAGAGAGATAGAAATATCAATGATGAGAGATAATCATTGATTGGCTGCCTCCTGCACATCCCACACTGGGGGTTGAGCTTGCAACCCAGGCATGTGCCCTGACCAGGAATCAACCATGACCTCCTGGTTCATAGGTTGCTGCTCAACCACGGAGCTGTGCCAGTTGGGCTTGTGAGCTTATTTTATTTTATTTTTAAAAATATATATATTATTGATTTTTTTTACAGAGAGGAAGAGAGAGGGATAGAAAGTTAGAAACATCTATGAGAGAGAATCATTGATCAGCTACCTCTTGCACACCCCCTACTGGGGATGTGCCCACAACCAAGGTACATGCCCTTGACCGGGATCGAACCTGGAACCTTTCAGTCTGCAGGCCGACGCTCTATCCAGTGAGCCAAACCAGTTTTGGCTGTGAGCTTATTTTAATGCAATTCTAGATCAATGAATGTGAAATGGCTTTGCTTTTCTCATTTAAAACAACTTTTGAGTAACTAACAAATTTCTTTTGAGGGCATCTGCTATAGCCTCTGCCGTGAAAGTGTCTCTTGAAGAGTTCATCTATTTCGTTTTTTCCTGTTTTATTTCAAAGTCACAAAATTATTTTCCTTTTAGTTAAATATATTATTTTATTAAATACATCTATGTATCCCACTATCCTTGAGAAAAACTATGGTTTCATAGTGTTATGGTCAAGCAGTCCCATGAGTTTGCTTGGTAACACATAGTAAACTAATGGCTATTAACCCTAATGTAGGGGAGTCTTGTTTAGCTCCACACAACCTGGTGGAAGAGAAAGGCACCAAAAGGATGATAAGATGAGAAAGACTATGAAAAGCAGGAAAACAATGATTAGCAGAAGGACATCTCCATAAGCCTCTTCTATGGAGCTTCATTTGAATTTGAGTAATATAAGACTACTAGGGGCCTGGTGCGTGAAATTTGTGCATGGGAATGTGTGTTCCTCATCCCAGCCTGCACCCTCTCTAATCTGGGACCCCTTGAGGGATGTATGACTACCTGTTTAGGCCCGATTGCTCACTACTGCCCTTCCTTGCAGGTCTGATCCCTCCCAATAGCTCTCCCCTGCTGGCTATCATGTGTCCACATGGAGGCAACCATCTTGTGTGTTGTAGTGATGGTCAATTTGCATGTTACTCTTTTATTAGATAGGATTAGATAGGATAGAGACCTGCTGCATGGGATGGGGCCAACTGGTTTGCCCTGAAGAGTGTCCCAAATCAGGGTAGAGGTACCCTTGGGGCATGGGGTGGCCTGGGCGAGGGGCCTGTGGTGGTTTGCAGGCTGGCCATGTCCCCTGGTGACCCAAGCAGAGGCCCTAGTATCTGGGATTTATTTATCTTCTATAATTAAAACTTTGTAGCCTTGAATGTAGGCCTAGGCTCACCAGGGTGTGCAGAAAGCTTGGCTTCCTCCATTGCCAGGAAAACCCAAGCCTCCTGCTTTCTTTATGGCTGTAGCCATCTTGGTTGGGTTATTTTGCACACTCACTCCTGACTGGGTGGTGTGTGTGGCTTGTGGGTGTAGCAGAGTGGTGATTAATTGGCATATAACTCTTATATTAGATAGGATCACTTGCTTTTTCATACACGGTCTTACCTTTCAAAATATACTACTATCGACTGTCTAATCACAATTTGTACAAATTTCTTCAGACAGAATAGTATATCAATATTTAAATAATTTATAAAATAATGTCATTTATTGAACTTTTTTGTTCAAAATTATTTTTATAAGAGATAAATATTTTACTAAATAATGTTTTCACTAGGGAGAAAATTTTAAAGCATTTTTTCCCATATTTTTGTGTAAGAATTTTAAATATTCTCTACTTTGTGTTTTGTATCTTGTAACTTGCTAGAAAATAGATCATCATTTTAGTGTTTCTTTATTGTTGGAAGGTCCACAAATGCTCAGAGCTTGACTTCCCCATACAGGCTTAGAAATGAAAATGTCAAACTATATAGTAACTAATACAAATGTAAACTAAATCTAAGGCTCATTTAAATTTATCCCACAAATATTTTAAGTATGGAAAAGTTATTACACACCATAACACCCTTGCCAGTTTAAACCACTTTCTTTTCAAGAACTAATATTTTTCATAATCTATTTATTGAATCATAATGCCCTATATTTTTATAGCAGCCCCATGTAACATAGTCATTACTTTTTATCATAGTCTGTTTCCAGTTTATGCCAACTAAAATGTAAATCTCATGTTATTATTACCAAAGGTTCAAATGATATAAAATGTGGAAATTCCATGGGATTCATTGTGTGCTAATATAGTTTAACCTTTGAAAGTTTCAGTATAATATTAGATGTTATTTATCTTGATAAACTGATTTGAATAACTTTGATCACATTAGTTTTTAAGATTTTAATAGCATGGTTCCTTGTTTCTATGAAGATGACCTCTAGGGAAATCAACTGACTTTGGGGAATTCAAATTTCAGTGGTCAGTATGAGGTATCCCCAGGTAACACCTAGATATAGTATTTTTGTTAACCAACCCTTTACTAAAACTGATGTCTAGACTTTAGGTATCGGGACACTATAAAAAAACAAAGTTTTGCTGGTATAATCATGTTACATTATAGAACTTCAAGTATCAGTGGCCTGGATTTGCTTTGTTTTAATCAAAACAGCCTCAGGAACCAGCATTGCAAGAACTTCAGGGGACAGTAGCACCTTTCTTTCCTCTGACCTTTTGTTTCTTACCAGCAAAACCCTGGAAAGCTAAAGGCTTTTTCTTCCCCTTTGCAGGTTTGGGATGAAAATCTTGCCAAATCTGCTGAGGCTTGGGCTGCCACCTGCATTTGGGAACATGGACCTTCTTACTTACTGAGATTTTTGGGCCAAAACCTCTCTGTGCGAACTGGAAGGTAGGAAGAGGCTTCCCTGGTACCCTTTACAGCCACACGTCATTGCTCACAGGCTCCAAGGCGGAGTGACACCAATTTCGAGTCGAATCAGCAAATATTGATTGTTTACTATGTGCCGGGCACAGAGGCTGGACCCCTGGCTATTTTAGATATCTCCAAGGAGTATTTTATTGGATAAAGGGACCTAATATGACTAGTTTCCCATTTCACCCTTGAAGCATCCTCCTTTAGCTTTGAAAGGATCAGCATGTGCTATACCCTCTATCCTGTCTCTTCTACCTCAAGAAAATCTCAACAGTGGCAGAAGCCATTCTTGTGTGTCTTCAACTTTCCTGTGGTTGCATAAATCTGTTATAAAAATTATATATGTTCACATATATAAGCATACACGCATATGTACATACACACCTATCTGCAAGCATATGCAGCTATGGAAAAGCTATTCCCAGTGATGGCATAATTTTCCTACCACTGTAGAATGTCATCACACAACATTCAAAAGGCCCAGTCTCTTGCATGTGGAGGAAGAAAATCAGGTGTCCTATTTTTAAAATTAAAATGATATAAGTTTAAGGAAAAAAACACCACACTGAGTTCTTGTATTGCGACTACTTCTAATATATCAACTCTTAATTGCGTGTAAGATTCTGATGGAAGAAATTTTTGACATAGATAAAACGAGATAAAATGATAAGTCCTGAAATATCTGCATGTCTGTTTTTGGAACCATCAGGCGTATACTTATGCAAATATAGAATCACTTGATCCAGCTCTGGGCTTTCTTATGTTGGTCCTACTTGAAGGAAGAGAGGATTCTACAAGGTAGTGATGGTAATTGTGAGGAGTGGGTATGCTCTTGATTCATCGTGAATAATCTGCATAATGAACAGCTTACAATGTAACAGGAGTCTGCTGTGTATCCCCACTGCCGTGCTCTAAGCTGTTTATCTTGATATCTAGATATCGCTCCATTCTCCAGTTGGTCAAGCCTTGGTACGATGAAGTGAAAGACTATGCCTTTCCGTATCCCCAGGACTGCAACCCCAGATGTCCTATGAGATGTTTTGGCCCCATGTGTACACATTATACACAGGTGATCTCAACTGTCTTGTTCATTTTTGGGGTCATACTTTTAAAAAATGGTCTTAACTATTTTTTAAAATTTATCTTTATTGTGGAAAGTATAACAGATGCACCCTATTCTCCTCCACTGACCCCTCCTCCCCACTCTTGCCCCCTCCACAGCCCTTCACAGCACGACTGTCTGTGTCCATGGGTTATGCATATTTGCCTATAAATTTTCTGTTTAATCTCTTCCCCACCCCTCCTTCTCTCTGAGAATGCTCAATCTGTTGCATGCTTCCACGTCTCTGGATCTATTTTGGTGAGCATGCCTGTTCTTAGCTCTGACTCAGTAACGGTACATTGGTTTATTTTCACAGATGGTTTGGGCCACCTCCAATCGGATCGGATGTGCAATTCATACTTGCCAAAACATGAACGTGTGGGGGACTGTGTGGCGCCGTGCAGTGTACCTGGTGTGCAACTACGCCCCAAAGTAAGTCCCAGGTGGCATGCTGCTTCCTGAACCTTTCGTGATTATTCAATATCTTCAGTTTATTGGGTCTTTCTTTCTTTCTTTCTTTCTTTCTTTCTTTCTTTCTTTCTTTCTTTCTTTTTTTTTCTTTTTTTTTAATGTGCCTCTTGTTACCTTAATGAGATGACTTTTTTTTAAATTGATTTTAGAGAGGAAGGGACAGGGAATGAGAGAGAAACATCAATGATGAGAGAATCATTGATTGGCTGCCTACTGCATGCTGCCTACATGTACCCTGAATCAAACCTGGGATCTTTCAGTCCACAGGCCTCTATCTACTGAGCCAGACCAGCTAGGGCAGTCTGCTGGGTACTTTAATGAGAAAGAATTAAATACAAGGGCCTCTGGTCTTGAATCCTTTGTTATTCCCATAAACCTGAAAAATGAGCTGAAAGGCTTCTTTGCACAAGGAAAAGGATTCAGGGCCAAAGCTGGTGGCAGAACAATCCGAGTATGGAGATTCACTAAATTCCCCTCACACTCTTTCCTTTGTCATGGCGATTGTAAAATAAACTCTGTACGCCAAGGCTTTTGATAGCTACATAAAAAAGCATCGGAACACACTCTTCTAGGGAATTTATCAACACCATAATATTCCTACCTCTAAGTGCCAAGATGTCAACTTACTTTTTTTCCTAGGAAAGCAAAACAAGCCTTTCTTCCATCTTTGTTGTAGGAGTAAAATTTAAAACTATAGTTTATTAATTCCATAGATGGCTAGGGAGGCATTCAAAACCAGAAGGAAGATTTTCAAGCTATGACTTCTTTTTCAACTGAGGCTTTGCCATGATCTAAATTTCAGTATTAAAAAAGTACTCAGTAATTTCATCCTATGGCATACATAAAAATGTTGTGAAATTGATTGCAGTTTCTAAAATATGGACATATTTATGAACATTTTTGCAATAAATAAGCAAGTGTTAACATTCGAGAAAATGCCTTCTTGATAACAATAACTCTTCAGCTGATAAAAGATTGCAGTATTTATTCATAAGTCTGTTCCCATTTGGAGTAAATACCAAAATGTGCAAAGGATTTATGACATTCTTGGTGTTTTCCAAAGTAAGTCCCAAGGATTTTCTCCAGCATTGCCAGTGTGAGGAGGGAATGAGAACATGCTTCACAAGCAGCTGCATTACTCATGTGTGTGGTAGTGTGCCAGTGTTTTTGCAGAGTTAGAGAAATAGCAATTTCCCCGATGGACCCCTCTCCACAATTATTGGAAGAGTAAGATTTGGAAAGTAGAATGTGTCTGCTTTATAAAAAGTATGGGACTGTGCATTTGATTGATATTTTCAGTCTCAGTCCTTATATTTTCCTATTAGGCTTGTACCCTTGTTTATGACACAAATAAACCAAGTATCCTCTTCAGATGATGAAAGACATTTGTATTTTATTCATTTAACTTCTCTGTTCTGGGCCAAATGACTAGAATTTCTAATATTATCAATGAAAGATTTGATTGTTTTATGGGTTCAAGAGATTAAGATATGGTGTTCATATGCTCTATTTGCTGTAATAAAAGACCGTTATTTTGAAACCTAGGCAATAAGGAAAGTTTTCAAGTCCTGACTGATATGTGAATATGATTCTTCTAATGACAGTATGAAGTTATCTCAAACCTAATAGTTTTTCAGGGGGGAGAAAGAGACAGAGACAGGGAGGGAGAATGTAATTACATGCACTAGGACTAAACAATAAAAGAATAAATAATAGTTTTATTAGTTGGCTGATTTACTATTGAATATTAGATATTCTCTATTCAATAAAAATCTGTGACTCATATAAAAGTATATAACATAACATGTAATTATTACAGATAATAAAATTGTACTTCTAAATTCTTGTTACTAAAATATGTGCTGTATAATTTCAAGAAGTATATAGAATAAAAAGAAAAATATCACATTAAAATAGCATAATCTTGATAATGATGCAGCTTGGGTAGAGATACATAGAGAAATATGATTTTGAATATAGAACGGGGGAACTTAGGACCAAGGAGGGAGCTGCACTCATCAGAGAACGGGTCCCCTCGGATGTTTCTGAGCAAGCTTACGTCATCAGAGTTACACTTGAGGAAGCTTCTCTGGAGGTCAGAGTGTACAATAGACTCGATACAGCCTAAACCGGTTTGACTTAGTGGATAGACCATCGGCTTGTGGACTGAAGGATCCCAGGTTTGATTCCGGTCAAGGGCATGTACCTTGGTTGCGGGCACATCTTCAGTAAGGGGTGTACAAGAGGCAGCTGATCGATAATTCTCTCTCATCAAAGTTTCTAACTCTCTATTCCTCTGTCTTCCACTCTGTAAAAAAGTCAATAAAATATATACTTTTTTTTTTTAAAAGAATAAACTCTGTTTGGTGGACAGTTTTAGAATCTCATCTCAGGTTGTAATATGAATAGTTAATTAGCATGCTTTACATGTCTGTAGATAAATGTTTTTGTAGATAAGTGTGAATTTTTTAAAAATATATTTTTATTGATTTTGTACAGAGAGAAGGGAGAGATACAGAGAGTTAGAAACAACGATGAGAGAGAATCATCGATCAGCTGCCTCTTGCACACCCCCCACTGGGGATATGCCCGCAACCAAGGCACATGCCCTTGATGGGAATCGAACCCGGGACCTTTCAGTCCCCAAGCCGACGCTCTATCCATTGAGCCAAACCGGCTTTGGCAAGTGTGAATTTTTAACTGGCTGATTTAAACAGATACCTTCGCGCCCTATAGAGACAGGTTCCGAGTCCTTGCTTGGTCTCATTCGGGTCTTAAAAACTCTGAGAACCACCTGTCTCTGTGCTAACCTCTCACCTACTGCCATCTGATCTTCTACCCTGACTTTTTATTACTGACAAGCAGATGTTCTCCTGGACATTCCAGTGCCTTCACATTGTTGGCTATATTGCTATTTCTCAGTACACTGGTTACTAACCCAAGCTACGCAAATACATTTATTACTCTTTCCTTTGTAATTAAAGGACCTAAATAACAGTAAGGTAACTGTAGGTAACTCTTCTAAATAGTGAACTGGTGTATTATTGTGATACTGGCGATCAATACAGATAAAGAAAAATATTGAGAACACAAAGTAATTCAGTTAAATGTGTTTATTATTAAAAAATGAATAGCACTACTATAAAAATGTCTAGGAATGTATATATGGGAAAATGTTTTGAAATCACTTTTAATTGCTTCTGTGGGCTCTCATTCTCTTACTACAAAAATGGAGTTTTCAATATCTCATTTTATAAATAAAGAGAATCTACAATATTTTACAACTTCAGGAACAAATTTTGTGAACATTTATTACTTTTTGTGTGTGTTTATGACAACTTTTTGTTCATTTAATCATTTCTAAGCCTCCCAGAAATGATGACATGCGTAGGAAGTTGTCATAAGCACAAAAACAGTAATAAAGGTGTATATACTCATATATTTTTATTAACCTTAGAATCTTATTAGTGTGAGCTTTTTAAAAGTGAATCTGTACAGACTGATTCATATGCCTTTCAGCATAACGATTATTGCTTGTCTCATTTTAAAAAATATATATTTTATTGATTTTTTTACAGAGAGGAAGGGAGAAGGATAGAAAGCTAGAAGCATTGATGAGAGAGTAACATCGACCAGCTGCCTCTTGCACATCCCTTAATGGGGATGTTCCCGCAACCAATGTACATGCCCTTGACCGGAATCGAACCTGGGACCTTTCAGTCCGCAGACCAACGCTCTATCACTGAGCCAAACCGTTTTTGGCTGCTTGTCTCATTTTTGATTCTTATAAGTATATTTCCAGTAGGACATGATCTTACTCATCTAGGGGAAATGGTGAACAACATAGACTGATGAACAAGAACAGACCCAGAGATAAGGGGCCATGGGTCAGACTGTTGCACCTCAAAGGAAGGGTGGGGATAAAAGGGAGAGATCAACCAAAGGACTTATGTGCACACATATGAGCCTAACCAGTGGTCAAGGACAATAGGGGGGTGGGAGCATGAGTGGGGGGGAGTGAAATGGGAGGTTGAGGACAAATATGTGATACCTTAATCAATAAAGAAATTAATTTTTTTAAAAAGTGAATCTGGCCTGTGTGCTCCAGGGGATGGCTGTGGGAAAGAGGCAGGTGTGGTGAATTGGAATGAGCATTAAGCCTGGTGTCAGATGACTAATTATGTCACTATTCATTGTAGTGAGTCACTTATCACCTATAAACTAAGATACTATTAAGTCAGAGAGAAAGTGTTTTAAAAGTAAGATAAATAAATAAGTTACCATATAAATAAGAAATGGATATAACTTACAGTGCCTTTCCAAAAATGACAAACTTCTCAAAAAAATCATCATGTCAATACATGTGATCGTGTGCTTGACAACAATAAAAAATTTTTATTCTCATCCCAAGATATTTTTTCCATTGAATGGTTTAGAGAGAGCAGAAGGGAGAGAGGTGGGGGAAGAGAGAGAAAAACACCCACGTGAGAGAGAGACATCGAGAGACACATCCATTGGTTGCTTCCTGCAGGAGCCTGACTGGGGCCAGGAACTGAGCTGGAAACTGAGGCTGTGCCCTTGACCAGGAATTGAACCTGCAACCCTTTGATCCGCAGGCTGACAACAATCTAACCACTGAGCAACCAGTCAGGGCAACAATAAATGAGTAACATTAATGCTACCATTTTTTTTTTCTCTCTAGGGGCAACTGGATTGGAGAAGCACCATATAAAGTAGGAGTACCATGTTCAGCTTGTCCTCCGAGTTATGGGGGATCCTGTACTGACAACCTTTGCTTTCCGGGAGTAACGTCAAACTACCTATATTGGTTCAAATAAGCTTACCGGCTCCTCCAGGAAGTTGAATGCTTTCTGGGAATCACAGGTCTATATATATATTGAGTTTTGCACATATTATACATATTTTATAACAATCTTGTTTTCCTTTTATTAGTCCTTGTGTATAAATCAGTGTTTGTCTAATATGTTTGTTTAATCTTTCGAGGTCATCAGAACATCCACTTCTATTTTCTGATCTCTAGCCCTAAATTAAAATATTTTATAGGTAGTAGTGATATTATTGATGCATCCACTTCTAAAACATGCTTTCTAAAAGAATTATGTTATGTTCCTACGGAATAAAAAACCTAAGGTATGTGTGTGCATATATAGACATACACATGTATATGCATTTATATGTCCATATATACACAAACATAATAGATGATGTAACACATTGATGATAATAATAATATGATTCAGTAGTAAACTGAAGGGAAACTTAAAATATTCTATTCAAAATAGATGTGAGGTGCTGGGGCATGTACAGCACCCACCTTTGTAATACCCACAAAACAACAGTTTGCAAAATAACCCTCAGTGATATCTGGCTATACTAAATTAACTAAGCAATCCAAGCTTTCATTCTGGAGACATTTTTTCTTACTTGGGTTTACGAAAGGTTATGCTCCAACTATGTGAGGTTCAGATCCTACCTTTTACTTAATCGCTTCTGGTTATGTTCTCAAAATGCAAAGATAATGAGATTTGGTTCCTGCCTTCAGAAGCTCACAAAAACATTTCAGGAAATAATACAGCCCCATGATTTGGCTGTGCAGTTATTATTTTTTAAAGAGTTGATGACCATGTAGCTTTGCAGACGTGAACACAATAGCAATAAGCCACACTGTGCCATAGGTAAGGCTCCTGGTTAGCGTGAACGTTTAGCCACGGTGCTTGGAACCAGAAGAGGCAGAGACAAATTAGCAACTGCCCAGAAGATTGGAGTGGACAGTTGTGCCTTTGGAAGGCAGAAAGCTAGACCCTAAGAATGGAAGCGGCCCAGGAGAAGTAAGATTTAGGAGGCAGGTATGAAAGTCACAAATATTCCAGGTTCAGAGCTTCGTGAGGTCTGTCAGCAGGAGGTAAAGACGCCAGAAAGAAACACCTGGGCACCAAGGATGCCGCCACTGCTTCACTGTGATGGGGGGACTGTGGGGCTCATATGAGAGACCTCGGGTGCACACCACAGGCAGCAATGACTTATTAAACAGCCCTCTTCAGAACTACTTTCTGAGGACAAGTTACCAGATTTTATTTCTATGTGCACTAATAGGCTTCAGTTGAGTTCTCAATTAGGCTTGGCTGTGGAGCTCAACATTACTTACTATGAAAACTTCACTCATGGGATTTTGGAAAGGCAGCATTTCCTCATTCAGGAAATCGGTTTAAGAGAAAACTCAATTATCTGAGTGTGTGTGTGTGTGTGTGTGTGTGTGTGTGTGAGAGAGAGAGAGAGAGAGAGAGAGAGAGAGAGAGAGAGAGAGAGAGAGACAGACAGAGAGAAGTACTTAGGTTGTATAATACTTCCATAGAACTTCTGAGTAAGTGTGTGTGTGTGTGAGAGAGAGAGAGAGAGAGAGAGAGAGAGAGAGAGAGAGAGAGAGAGAGAGAGAGAGAGAGAGAGAAATGCTTAGGTTGTATAATACTTCCATAGAACTTTTGAGTAAGAAAACATGGTTAGTTCCAGAATGTAAGTAACAGGAGGAAGCTACTTGTTTAAAATTCCCTGCACACTTGCAGTTTCTCAGGGTGGCTGCATTGAGAGGATAGTTAATTAAATCCATTCAATGCAGGAGAAATACCCATCTGGAGTTTTGATGTTCATGATGACACATAATTGGCCTGATTCCTTTTACAAACTGGATTTGATGACCAAATGTTTTGATATCCTATTACTCCGCTTCTGTGGGCACTATATAGACTTTATTAAAAATAGGTATTTTGGAGATTGAAATGAAAAATAGAAATAATTATATGATTCAGGCCCCAATTCGAATTTTAGCTAACATGCAATAGGCAGTTGGAGAGAAATCTCATTGGTAGGATGTTGGCTTGATTTCTGTAGAAAATGTTTTCCATCCCTGATTTTGCTGCACAGAAGTAGAAAAGTACTATTCAACCAAAGATGACTATGCTTAGTTCCAATTCTGTTACTGGTTTACTCGTGTGGCTTGGTTTCTTAGCTCTAAAAATGAACAATGATATTTGCTTCACGTTTCACAGAGGTTCTTAGGAAGATAAAGTTATCATAGTAATAGAACTTATGAAGATTAAAATTATCATTAATGTCAAACTTTTCTTTAAGATAAAAGTAAGTTTTTTTGTGAGCTTTTCTTTGGCAGAAACTCTAATTCTTTGCATTTATCTCAGCTTCTTATTCAGTGGCTGTAATGCAATAAATGTTTCTATGAATGGGTTTTCAGCATTAACTAAAAACTCTAGAACTGCAACAATTTAGAGGAATCCCACCTTACCATTTTTATTAAGACAAAAATGTCTTCAGTACAAAGCTTTGAATGCATCAAAAATTCAGATGAATCTTCAGACATATCTTCATAGTCTTCAGATTAAGATTTATAATTTACTCAGTAGTCTGTTCCAAATCATGGCTAAGTTTACTTATAATTTAGCAACTCAGCTGAAAATGTAACGGGTATATTTGTTAGTCTATCTCTACTTTTTAAAGTCAGTAATATAATGTGGCCATGTAAAATTCCCAGGCCAAAGCAAATGACAGTTTGCTAGTAGCCTGTCATATTTTTACAGCATGCAACGGAGGTGCTAGGATAACTATTTCTCACTGTAATTCCCAGAGGCAGAAAGGGTCTGGGGATAAGCTATTTCATAAGAGCAGCTTTAAACAGTCAGTATTGAAATTTTCATTTCAAAAGGTTTCCTTTAAAAGATACAGTAATTAGCAAACATATTCTACAGTGTGGATCCTCTCTATGATATAGTTTTTTCGTTTCCACCTTGTTTTGTAGGAAAAAAGTAAAAAATAAGTCTGTTACATTACGTATTTTTTGGCTTTCATGTCATCAAAAGACTGGGAAAATGATAAATTTTGCTGTTAAACTGATGGATTTCTTTATAGAATTTATATGGGCTCGGTAGGCAACAGTCTTAATGTTCCTGGTTTTGACAGATAAACTTGCTTTTACCATGTGGCAGAACCAGTGATTATTATCCCTTTTGCTTCTGTCCAGCATCATCACTTCTTTGGGCCATCAGAGTGTCCCTACCAATTCATTTGGCAGGGAGGTCTGACTCACTTGAAACCATGGAAACAATCATTTGAAAGCTCCAGGCAGTTTTGGCACAGAGTTGACCAAACACTAGGGCAAGTTCAACCAATACAATTTACTCTGAACATTTGATTCGAGACCATATATATGTACATATACATACACACACACACACACACACACACACATACACACACACACACACACACACTCATGTGAATGAACTTATAATCTCTCCATAAGCAAATCTCATACACATTTCGGCCAGTTTGTGTTTTGTGTTCATGCCCTGCTTATTATCGGAATGATCAGCTGAGCAGGCCATTTGAATGTGTCCATGGAGGGAAAGTGATGCTCAGCCTGAGGTCTATGTACTCGGCCGTGTGTAACAACATTCCCTGGACCCTGCAGTCTCCTAGAATGAAAATCTTGACATGGATGGAAGCCTTTATCCACTAAATCTAGAATTAGATTTCTACCAGTCTAATATTATCATTGCTTACCTATGATTTTTTAATATTGCCATTATATGTATGGGAAAGAATGTTTAAACACACACAAAATGATTTTTTAAAAGTATGTCATGGTGTAATTATGACTTATGAGAGGCCAATCACAAACTTAGGAGGTATAACAATGAACTGGCTAATGGTGCTAAAAATGCATTACAAACACCAAAATTGTTACAATTTTGAGGTTTCTTTGCAATGAAAGTTTTTATTAGGTGTGAACTATCACTTATTTTGGTGCTAAATATATGGTGCTAAATGAATTGTTAGTGTTAATAGCTTTAGTAAGGCTCTTTTTAGTCATTATTGAAAGTGTTATCCATTCAATTGTGATTCGGAAATAATAATAAAATCCTGTTAAATTAATCTTAACCAGAAACAGGCCGGTGAACTCTATTTTTAATCTAACAGCCCAAAAATTATTGTAGTGTTACAGAATATAAATTTACTTTTCTGAATTTACTTTTCTGAAGTTACTAACTTTCTTTTAAGGCATTTCTTAGCTTGGCAATGTCCAAATTCAAATATTGCCTGAAGGTTAAACACCTACACCAACCATACTGCAGGCGCTGGCGCCCTCTGGCGGTTGTAAAACCAAATTCTTGATGGGTTACTTGGCCTGAAACAAAAGCCCTTTCTTCTGTCCAATAAAAGTTTAAGCTGCATAATTTCATAATTCTCAGATACTCTCTAAATCAGACAGTATTTGAAAATGCTTGACTCTTTCGACATACTTTTCTAAGAGGATACGAGCAATGCTGTATCTTGGTATCCACTCTGCTAAATAATAATGTTTTTCATGGTTTTCATGAGGTGCTTATTACAGTGTTGTTGTTTTATTCTTTTTAACTAGGCATTATTAAAATATTTTTATTTGGTTTACATTTTAAATACAATTAGAATTAAAATTAGCAAACAAGATTATAAGGGTGCTCCACTTTCAGAAGCAATGATTTATTTTTACTTTGGGGAGCCCATAAGATAAAAAGGAGGTAAGTTAAAAAATTAATTCCACAGAGGGAAGGATTATCTCATCACCTTGACTTGTTGGTCTATAACGTGATAATGTTCTTTAAGCTGAACTATTGGGCTACTAATACAGTTTTAATATTCCATTCAAACTCTTTTTTTTAGCCTAACCGATGTTTAGAATCACATCACCTGTAACTAAATGGGCCATATTCTTAGGTAAACTTTCCGGTGAGGTATGTAATTGACTGATGTGATCATCTGGTTGGAAAGA